CGGAAGAGACATCGCATTTCAATTTTTTCTCAGACAATGGAAACAAACAAAAATTATCCCTTCGTTTATATGACAATTAAAATAAGACAGATATTTTACCAACATGGTCACAATTCTCTTGCAGTAGGTACAGTAAGAAGACTCTGATACATGCTCGCATTATGGGCTCACACTGCGTATGCATTTTGGGGTGCGGAAAAGAAATGTGGGGAGCCCAGGCAGGGTGCTAATTGAGTGCCTTTTCTCTCTTTATCAGAAAAGCCATTGGGGACGGCAAAAGAGCTACTCTATTACAGCCTAGCTGGGCTAAGGTAAGAATTGTCGATTCATTTGATGAAGATGTAATAAGATGTGATGAAAATCATGCTCTGCCCAGTATTTGCACCAGTCTGTGGGATTCGAAGCGCAGCTGAACCCAAAACAATTTGCTGACTTAGTCAGATTAAAGAGCCATTACTGTAGTGGTACTTTTAGCAAAACAAGATTTAAAGTGCTGTTAGGAGAGAGAGAATGAAAGAGGAGCTACCATGCAGATCCCATCAATGGCAGATTTCCTAACAAATGTATTATTTTCAAGAAATATAACTCTCAGAGACTTTAGGTGGAAAACGTCTCAAATTTGGAATGCAAGTCACATAATTTCGAGAAACAGGACGACTGGGGTGTATTCATTATTCTAGCTATGATGAGTATTACAGCAACACACACTTTGTATTAATGACTTTGTAAATCAAAACCATTAAGCTATATTTTATATTTTATATCAATCTTCATTTGTTTTTTTTAAACTAGTATGATGCATCCTGATTTATTTTTATTTCAAAATGGAAATGTATAAATTGCTAAACTAAGATTGTAGTATGCTAATATTACACAAAATATAAATATACCAAGCTTCAGAAGAAATGCATCTTTTTATTCATGTTTGTTTTTAGAAAACTGTACCGTTTCAGAATATTGATTACATGTTTTTGGGGTCATTTTGATTAAATTATCGCTCTGGACCTTGTTACAGTGTTAGTGTTGCAATAGAGAGAATTGAGTGGGCGTAGATTATGATGGGATTTAAACTGTTAAACGTCAAGCCGAATATCGCGACTATCAAGTCAGAGAAGCACAGAGGCCAGTATGCCCCGCTTATCAGGAGATCAAAGGCTTTGGGATATCTGTTTGTTGGAGGCGATTTGGGCTGTTAAAAAGCAGCCACCTTCTACCAAGACATGACATCCCGAGTCGGTCCTCCAGGGACAGGCCACAGCCTGCCACAGCTCCTCGTCAAGGTTGCTGCTGAGGTACATGTGATAGCCGGGAGGGGTCGTCATTACAGGAACCAGTACGTCTTGATTGATGACAACCTCATTGCACAGCACTACATTCATGCAATCCTGGAACTTCACTCTCGGGGAAAACCCTCTGAATCACCCTTGACGACGAATATTAATTCAGCGTAACGATTTTGAACTATGTCATATCTGTTCAATAAAAGCGGGGTACCTGTGACAAGAAAAAATGTCATTTTCCTGATAACCTTTTTGAATTTGTTGGATTTAGATTGTTTCTTGGCGCTCAGTATATAATTAGAAGACCTACATTTTAATGCGCAAGTGTGTTCTCTTTCACTTTTGGTTTACAATCGGAAATCCTTGAAAGCGGTGAAAAGAAACTGGAAGCCCCCACTCCTTATGATTCATTTCCTTGGTTTTATTTAGTTTTTTAATTTTTAACACGTAAAGAAGATAAGCCACAAATGCAGTGTGACACACCGTCTTGATCTGCAGTTCAAAGTCTCCGTTTGCTCTGGAGTTCTTTCTCTGAGGTCTCGTTTACATGTATGTCATTAAAAAAAGAAATACCCTGAAGCCCTCCAGTCTGTTCACCGGCTGGTCTGTCATTCAGACATACCTTGAATTTACCTAGCAACTATGTAAATCGACATACATATGCAGTGTTCTGTGTTTTTAGGTTTAAGTCAGACTCCATTTTAAGATTCATAAAACTAATAAGTGCTGAATTTATTGAGGATGGGAAAATAAGCAGACGACGCTGCATTGTCAGCA